CGTAGGCAGTGTTTTTACTATTAAGCACGGTTTAGTGCTCTTGTCATCAGCTTGTAAGGTACAAATTATCTTATGATTAACGTTACTATTAGTATTAAGCAAGGTTTAGTGATTGAATAAAAAAATTTAGATGAAATCGGGTTGACCCGTTGATGTCAAGCAACGATGCCACATTCGACTATCTGACTGGGACGGTGCAGAGTATACCATCTGAGGCATTTGCAAGGATCATGTATGTTGGATCAATATACTTTCACATCTATTGGAGTAGTTATTTCTTTGAAATACTTATTCGTCATGTTCAGGGAAAAAAAAAAAAACTTATTCGTCTGTTCCTAAAAGAAAGAAGAAGATATATAGACTGTAAAAATCAAAAAGAAGCAAGAAACTTCACTATGGACAAAAACAGAATAAGATTTTGCATCTATACTATGCAGCATCAAAACGTATCCAAATCGGAACTCGTTATAAAGATATCTCAACCAATATTTACTTATTGAGAAGATATCAGCAACCTCAATAAGTTTCCTCTCCTCTTTGCTCAATCTCTTAGGACTTGCACTCTCACCAACTCATCCCCTCTCATATTACTCTTGTTTAAAACCACCACTCCCTTACTCGGTTGTGTCCCTGCCGATACTTTCATTTTCGTCCCTTCGATATAGAATATATCTTGCAAGCGTAGCGTATATTGGTATCATCCCGTTTCAAGACCAGGTACGGTATAACAACAAACAGATCACCCCTCACTTCCCATCATTGCTTTCTCCTCTCACTCTTAACTAGCTACCGGAATCCGATATTTTGAGACTTATCCATTCATCCTCCAGAGCAAGTACCACTCCAGTGCCGTTACATGAAGAGCAAGTTATGACTTGTTGGTTCACGTCGAGAGGAGCTCTTGCTGATGAAACCACTTGACCTAGTCCTCCACACGTGGTGCATTTGGCTTCAAGAGTCTTTAAAGAACAAAACTTGGATTCTTCGTTTGGAAACCATGCCCCAATGTCTCCCATTCTAGCCTCACCATACTTACCGTAAAGAGATTTCATCTCATCTGATAAGACTTCATATGCATTACTTATTTCTATGAATCTCTCTTCTGCATCAGGATTCCTGTAAGCAGGGGAGATAATATTATTAGCTTAGAAGTATCAGTCGTGAAGAAAAACACGCGGTTTTTGACATTTCTCAAGTTGGTTAACAGAGATTAAGCTTCTTCTATACTAGTTAAGCCTCTCCTTCTCAAGCTATACAACATCAATCTTGATAATTAAGAATGAAGTTTTTGACTTACTTGTTCGCATCCGGATGGTAATTCAAAGCTAGTTTCCGATATGCTGAAACAGAGAGCACGGAAGAGCACGAATCAGTGTCGTACCAAATTCAAAACAAACATATGAAAACCATTTATATACACAATTAGAAGAAGAAAAAACGAGAATATACCGCTTTTAATCTCAGATAGGGTCGCATTTTGAGAAACTCCGAGCACCGAATAGTAAACCTAGAATCGTAAACAATCACACATAAGCCATCAAGAACATAACACTATTCAGATTATACACATTCTGCAAAGGCTAGAAAATAGGAACACCCACTGCATCAGCTCTAACAATGAAGCGAGATCCTCTGATATTTCCGGACATTACAGCCCTCGACAAGAAAGGCAAGGATCCATGTGAGAACATACTTGACTTTGAATCATGGTAACTGTAAGGTTGTGAAAAGGAAAAACCTTTATAAATGCTATTTCAAGGCAGTCTAGAAATCACATAATACTAAAATTAGTAAATTCTAATCGTAAGAACTAAAATCAAAACTCTCCAAGTAAATCAAGAACTAAATGCAATCCAGAGACTTGGTTAAAACAGAAACTCATACTTTTGTTGGCGACTTGATTCGACTCTGCTCGGATTATAAGATGTCACTGCAAATCGAGGACGAATACTCCATTGAGCAAAGCAAGTACTTCCAAATTGTATTAGAGCCATATATTTAGCTGAATACACACTACCTGCAACACAATTAATGCCTCAAAATGCTGATCCTAAGAAGCAAATGCAATAAACGATACTAAACAAAAGCAGAATCAGAAATATTCACAGGAAATAAACAGTGCCCATCACAGAAGATACGAATTCTTCATCCACTAAACCAAAAAAATCATAGATTTATACGTACCGTATATAAGTAAGGAAGTGGGCCTCGACACAAAAGAAGAAGACATAGCCCAAGAGAATCAAAGCCCAGTAAAGAAGCCCATCTTGATACAACAGATGACAAAAACTCTGTGTAAGATAAAGGAGCAATGGTACGACAAAAGAAAACGCTCCATGAAAACAAATTTGAACTTCTCCAATCCTTATCCTTTTATGACCAAGACATAGCTGGAGGATAAGACCAACCTGTTTTTTCAATTCTAGATTGTTCCTTTAGGTCTATATAAGAATCATGCAAAACCTTATTGTAATGTATCCAAAATCAGAGTTTTCAATACAAAGTTCATCTTTTTCCTTTCTCCTACACCGTAATCAATGATGATAAAGAGAGGAAGCTTAGATAACAAGTCAGGAAACCAAAACCCCCTAGCAAACTGGTAAAAGAACACGAAAAGCCTATAGAGTTTGTTCGACTAAAAGTCCCAAAAGTGGTAGAGAGTCGACCACCAATAAAGAGTCGTCGTCATTCGTCATTGTCCCCGTGAAACTAAACCGATGAGGTACTTCACATTGGTAATTAGGTTTCGGTTTCGGTTTCGGTTTTACTTTTGGTTTGGGATATCGACTTTAGATATATTTTTAAAAAACTTAAATTAGATTTAATGAAAAATGTTTTTTTTTTTTTTGGCTAAACGTATGAAAACTCTTTTTTTGGTATGATTTAACTAGGGCTGGACACAAGATACCCGTTATTTATTTCGATTTGTACCGTTTCAAAAATAAAAAAAATATTTAACAAATGATATCCAAATTGAGAAATTGAAGTACCCGTTTCAAAAAAAAAAAATATTTAACAATTGATATCCAAATTGAAAATTTGAACAGATTAAAAAAAAAACAAATGATGAGTTTGGTAAAAGATTTAGCTACACATTAAAGTATAAGATAAATCCAGATGATCTAAATCACACAGAGAAATTAAACATCGTGAATAAAGTGAAAATCGTTTAGTAAATTATTGAAATTGTCCCTTTTTAAAAAAAAACTATCAGATTTTTTAATTGATTAAAACATGACACCACTTAGACTGATCTAATGCGAATGGTTACAGTTATATAATTTATTTTTGAAGGGAATTAATCTCTCGTCAAATTATCCTCTCTGGTCAAACTCTACTAAAGTTTTTTAATTCAAAAGTTGTAAGAACAAATTATGAAACCTACCCATGAGGTAATATGCATAATGTTCTTGGATTAATTTTGTTTATTTTGAATATTAGTATTTAGTAACTTAACAAAGTTCTCTCTACTTCTCTAGAGTAATAAAAGTCACTTAAACAAAATTCTCTCTAGAGCGATATTTATAAAAGAATAATTTTACCAATACTCGAAGGAAATGTTAGAAAAGTTGAAATGGCAATTATATGTAGTTAAATTTTAGTCAAAATTAGCCAAAAAAAAATAGTGTGTAAATTTGCATGTATGGTATGATTCTAGTGCCAAGTCATAGCAACTAGGTAAGATTCTAATTGGACTACCGAATGAAAGAGTTTTCTGTAGCATTTTTGGAATTTTATCGACTGTTCAAGATTTCAAGTTGTTTTTTCCTCTTTGGCTTCCCGATTGTTCTTCGCACAGAGAAATTAGGATCTTTATCACAATTTTCTCGGAACATTTTGCTTCTCAACATTGTTTCC